TTTAACTTATATCTAGTAACGTAAGTACGTCCTACCTACTACTACACTACACTATACTACTACTCTCTCTCTCTCTCTCTCTATCTATATATATATATATATATATATATATATATATACAAGTTACCACCTTGTTAGAAAAATCAAATTGTCTTTAACTGGAGCCTAGCACGTATTTCCCAAATCTTAAGCTTATGCACCTTTAATATATTGTTTTTGAACTACAGTAATCCCCTGGATAATTTTGTAAATTTCAATAAAATCACCTCTTAATATTCCCAAACGAAAATAAGTTCCGAAATCTGAACCTATTTCTCATCCATGGAATCAACATTGTAGCCTTCCTCTAAACCCTTTCCAATAAGTTAATGTATTTTCTTAAATAAGACAATGAAAACTGCACACAGTATTCCAACTTTCCAAGACAGGCCTAGCTAGTAATTGGTAATCAATAAAAATGAATATATGTATAAAATACATCCTAAAATTATATTAGCTCTACTACTAGTAACACAGCACTGTTTTGCAAGCTTCAGTAACATATCCACCACTATACAAAAATAATTTTCTTCAAACACACTGATGAATCCATTCCGATCCAACTCGTTCATTAGTACTTCAAAATTTTCAATACAGCTAGGAATAGCCAAGAGTTTAATATCAACAAACTTTTCTGATCTACTAATTTTGCTCTCTATCAATATCCTTAATGTATAAATAAAACAACAAATGCTCAAGAATCTAAGAACATTAGTAACAAGGAAAAATTTGACTGGACTCCATTCATAATGACATTTGTTCTCTCCCTTCCAACTACCCTACAATCCCTAATCTTTTCCCAGTCCTACTGGTGTGACTTTCTTAGCTAATCTTTTTGGTAGCACCTTATCAAAAGCTTTTTAAAAAATCTAAGTACTTGAAACCCAAGGCCTATAATTTCCAGAGCAATTCTTATCAACTCCTTTAAAAATTCAATCCTCACACATCTGCCTACTCTCCTTTGACCTACTAGAAATAAAAAAGATGCATATCTGATCTTTGATCTCCCTTAAAACCTTGGGGAAAACCTTATCTGGCTCTGGTGCTTATCTACTTATTTCTCAATTTTTCTACTTATCACTAAGGGATTAGTATCTATGACTGAGGTCAACACCAAAACTTCCTAAAGAATGATTAGGATCAAAACTTTTGTAAATAAAGACAAGATACATCACAAACAAGTATAACACTAAATGTACTTTCACAGGTTAATTACAATATCTTGAAAGCAAAGATAATTAGACAGCACTGAAATATACAATTGTAGGTGCTACTATAACGTGAGGTCTACAAAGATATTTACACTATAGCACGTGGTCTACACAGGTACTTTCATCATCACTGTTTTAATGATTCACTAAAACATAATTTTTTGCTAAGTAATTTATATCTATCCACCTTTTTGTTCAGCAAATAATAATAATTTAATAGGTTGTGTGTTCCAAAAGAGTACCTTAAATTTAGTTTTTAATTGTGCTAGTTTTGATTGTTGGAATTTATTTTATTCCAATTATAATTGCCGCTTAAACATTAAGTAATGGTTTTTTGTAACTTATTAGTTAAAAAGCATTATTTATAATAAATGGTGCCAATTGCAAATAAATGAAAGTTAAAATGGTGATAATGATAGTATCTGTGTAGACCACATGCTTTTGTATAAATATCTTTGTAGACTGCATGCTATAGTAGCACCAAATTTTATTGATGGCATATAAAAGAAAGCATTTCATAAAATACTTGTGATATTAACATAATTTTTACTGGTTCCATAAAAATATCTGTATTTTGATTGGTTTTTAATTATAGAAAATGGCAATGAATAAAAATAAAGAAAATGCTTTGCTCAGGATACACAATATATATAAAAGATATATGTACAACTTAAATTGCAACAATAAATAGAACATTAAAAATAAAATACAACAGGAAGACATTATAATAACAAACAATAGAAAAAACTACAGCAATCAAAATGTTGTCACTGCCTCCTGTGACCTAACCTTGTTTATTGAATAAAGATGACACTTTTGGCTACAACTACTAGTACTACTTCATTTTTTTATATCATGACCTACGGGCAATAAGGGACTATCGGTCCTTCAACAAGGTTGTTCTTGCTCACCCACCCTTTGGAAATGTAAAAATTTAAGTTAACCCTTTATTTTTCAACATTTCAGGAAATCATAGATTCCTTTCTTAAACTCTTGTAAAATGCTGGCCTGCAGTAGTGTCAACAACAAGTTATTCCACAAGTCAATCACCCTGTGAGTGTGACCGAAAGCTATTAAATAAAACTGTCTTTCGTTTAACTTAAGACTTTAAAGTACATTTATTTAACACTTAACTGGAACTTAGCAATTCAATTCTTTTTTACAGATCTTAGATTTGAGTCTTCTCGTCCTATTAAAAACATAACATTTTTCTTAAGAAGTAAAACCAAGATTGAACAAAAAGTAATACTTCTACGGTTATGACTATAATGACCTATCAGTATCAATATTACTATTCCACACGTTTTTCAGACTGCAACATATTTGTTACTGTTAGGCTTAATGTAACTACATGAGTAGAGCACAAGCTTCTTCTCTACCTGTAAAAGTTTTCAGAGCCTCCGATAGCTACGAGACAGTACGAGTTAGTAAGTTTGGAAAAAACACCTATTTCATTATTGTTTTCAAACTGAGCTCTAACTGCCATTATATTAACCACAAAGAGAAAATAATATTAACAAACAGTTAATTATCAGTTATACGCTGCTTCGAAGAGCAAAATTCATTTACACCGAATAAAATCGATTTGGCCCTCTATACTATTTATGACTAAAAACTTACGTGAGGCAGTCTTTGGAATGCAGTGTTTCCACACAAGATAATACAAGATATATTGAAATTATAATACTGTGCATAAAAATTGTAGAAATACAATAAATAATTCTGAAACTATAGTTTATTCAAAACTCTTTTTTTTAAAATATATATATCAGTTTCAAGCTTTTCTCTGTTCACTCCTAGTGAAACCAATTTGGTTAATTTTCATCATCAGTATGAAAACGGTTAATTAAAAAAAAAGGAATATTATAAAGTAGCATATAGAAAAGAGTTAGTTAAATCATATTAAATAGGAAAAAATTAACGAAAAGTAGGGATAGTTAGTTAGCCGTAGAATAGCTATAAGAAGTGTCCAAAACATATTAAATGCTGCGATAAAAGTACACCAACAAGTAAAGTGATACTAGTTGGATATATTTTGATGAAGCATCTATGATGCGTAAAGCTAAATGAATCAGTCTAAGTTTTCCAACCAAAGTAGGGATTGAAAATCGTTTTAAAATATATCCAACTAGTATCACTTTACTTGTTGTTTACATTTTATTGTGGCATTTATTTTGTTTGGATACTTATTGTAGCAATTCTACGAATAACCAACGATCCCTGCTTTCCGTTAAAATTTTATTTTTTCCCTATTTATTTGTACAGTTTTTATACGTCTATGGAATGGACAAAACATCTGTAAACTTTCAACAAGCCATATCCATGATAGCTATAACTTTTACAAAAATCAAAACCCCAATCATAAACTTATAACATTTAATCCTTACTTTAGCCTTCAGATAAGTGTATAAAGCTTCCAAAGTTGGGATTAAATTATATAAATTTGTGAATATGATTTTAATTTTTGTTTCATTATTTTTTGTAGCAAAATTCATACTTCATTTTCAAATTAATAAATTTTTAAAACTCTTATTTGTTTACTTTTCGCGTTATACCTGTATAAAGTATATGCTTTACCTTCATAAACTGTCATGTGTCTATCCATTGATATGTAGCGCCATCCATTGGGTTGAAAAGATATTTAAGTAGGTTCATGATATGTTTATCATTTATATTGTACCTTTATATATATGAATTTTTATCGGAATATCAAAAGCGGATAACCACAGACCCGTCAAGTAAGCTTTAGAAATCTTGTAGTGATAGTCTGAGCCGTCCAGGCGCTAGCCCCACTGACGTGATCAGGTAGGTAGGTAGGTAGTATACGAAAAAGTTCTTGTTTTAGATATTTTTGAACTATAACACCAGAAATGTTAGCGACTTTTATCTAGCATATTATTAGTATATGCGAATGATATATCGTCAGTTTTTTGCTTAGGAATTCGACAGTGTGGTTTTTTTGGCGTTTGAATTATTTGAATCCTTGTTCGTCCCTACTATTAAGTACTACTGTATATAAAATATTAGGTCATCAAGAAATTAATGTCGCTTTTTCTAGATGAAAAAACCCGAACAACTTACATCTTACAATCAGGTTGTTAATGCCCTAATTAAAGAAATCTCTTGGCTTTGGAGCAAAAAACAAGTCGATGTCCTCTTTAACACCTTCCACATTTGTATACGTTTTCCCATTAAGATAGTGTTGCAGCGAACGAAAAAGATGGTAATCTGATGGTGCCATATCTGGATAATATGGTTGGTGGGGGAAAACCTCCCAACCAAACTCCATAATCTTGTGTTGCATCAAACGTGCCACATGTGGACGTGCATTGTCGTGGAGAAGAACACCTTTCCGACTGATGAGTGATAGACGTTTCTGATGAAGGGCTTGATTTAAGCGTTCAATTTGGTGACTATAGATCTCTACATTGACAGTTCACGGTGGATTGAAGAGTTTGAAATGAATTACTCCTTTGATGTCCCACCAAATGCAAAGCATCATTTTCTGTGGATGGAGTCCAGGTTTTGGTGTTAGAAGTGGGTTTTGTCTAGGACTGAGCCATTGTTTTTGGTGTTTAAAATTTGCATAGAGAATCTATTTTTCATCACCGGTGACAATTCTGTCCAAAAATGGTTCACGCGCATTACTTCTCTGCTATTCTTTGTGGCTACAGAGGCATTGTTTCCCTTCTTCTATTCAAACAGGTATCTATTCGATACCCGTGGTGGGCAGAGCACAGATAGCCCATTGTGTAGATTTGTGCTTAATTACAAACAAACAAACAAATCGTTTAACTATTATACGTTATGTTCGTTTTTTTGGGTGTGGTTAATGAACATGTTCCAAAACGCGACTCTTAATTTCTTAACGATCTAATATTACAGACAAGTATCTTTAGCTCTAGTTGTAATTGTGATCATATATGCAGAAAATTTAATTTAAGTTTGCATTAATTGAAACAAAGTTTTGATAAAGATATGTTTAATCATAAAAAAAATAAAACAGCATATTTTACATGTAATTGCAGAATGGCCAATAAAACACATCAAAACTGTTTTATTTAGGTTTCGAAGGTTGGAGCTTTATTGACAGTGGTCTTCACTTTAATATATTTGACTCTTTTCTTTAAGAACATGTATTGTAACACAAATATGTTTTAATATACACACAACAGTACAATTTACAATAACAATTATTACAAATAGTTACTACAAACAATGATTTAGAAACAAAAGTTTCACAAACTTACAAGCAATATAAAGTTTTCTTTCTAGTCTGGAACTTCTTTGATATCTTATCGAGGGTTTACGATGAGCGAGTTAATTACGAGTTGATGAAGATACGATTTGCTGGGAAGCTAGCTAGCTTTGTCCTTAGCCACACACGCTGTTTTACACTGTTGAAGTTAGGTAATGTTTTCGTAAAAATACTTATGTCCGATAAGAAGCCACTGAAGTTAAACGATTTGTAACGTTCGAAATTTATAAATATTCCTGGTCAAATATCTTAAGTTTTCCAATAAGCGTTATAAAAATCACAGTTATAGCTTTCGCAGTTTATAGCACACTGATTATAGCGAACTACTAATATACACTCACTCTCTTAGGCGCGTCGCGTTGGTTGTTATTTATAGGCGTCGGAAGGTTTTCTAAAATATTCAGATTATATAACAATACTGAGCTATATTTAAACGTTTACATATATAGATATATTGTTGATTCCTACTTTCGAGAATCTTCTACGTCATTGGAGAATAGGCGGGAGTTTCGCAATACATATCTAACACTACAAGCTATGCCTGTTTTTAAATATAAACTTAATATAAACAACGTTCATATTAAAATAAATACATAACAACAAATTCGTTACAGTACCCTTCTCTCGCAACCCATAACGACAATGAGTGGATGTTTTTAATGTTGACACTACTAATCCGCTTTGTTTACTTCTTTCATAACGCTGAACATACTTTCAACTATGCCCCTCAGTGGCACAGCGGTATGTCTGCGGACTTACAACGTGTTAGGCAGAGCACAGATAGCCCATTGTGTAGCAAACAAACAAGCTTTCAACTATAGTGTCTGAGAATTGAAGAAGAAAAAGTTATTATCTCCTGTAGAAACAAGCATACGATTATAACATGCTCTTTCCATGGGTTGGTTTATAAACATTATTTGATGAAAATAAGGCCAAGTCCAATCCACATAATAAAATAGTTAATTTATTCCATACCTTACAGGCTACTATCACTTTCACATAGTAAGCCTAAGTAGTAAGCCAATAACGTTTTAACTTGTCTTTCAAAAGAGATTTCTAATGGAACTACGAATAACGTACAAATAAACTTACTTGTACAATATCACGGCTAATCGATGGAGCAACTGAATATATGTTAAACTAAATACTTCGCTCAATGACTAGTGCTCTGCCAACTGAAACTGATTCAATGCTTCATTGATTCTTGTATATATATAACATAGATTTGTTTCTAGATATTTCAAAAACTCTCTCGATCATTAACATTCACGGACATTATAGGACTACTTTAAAAACTTACTTGATTTTAATGTACAAGCGTCCTTTAGAAAACAGCTAAATTGAAACAATAAAAATATAGCTTACAACAATATTAATGTTTATGTTGTTGGGAAGCTCAAATACATTTAGAGCTCTTTACTCTTCAACACCTGACCAGCCTGGAAGAGCAATGTTTTACAAAATGTTGTTTACGTTTCTTGGCTTTAAATTTTTGGCATTCATAGGGTGCACAATTTTTGTGTGCTCGAAGACTGAAATCTTTGTTTTATCTAACGTATGACTTCCTTATAGAATTCTGTGGCTGATGAATAGATCTTGATCATTTCTTCGTGGATAATATTTGAATAATTGGTTTCAAGATATATCAGTATGTACACTGCTAAGATATGTGAATATACTCTGTTCAGAGGCAAATACTCACTCTCTCTCGCTTTTCATTAATAGTAATCACGTTAGTGTAACATACCTCATATTCATGAGACTTATGGAAAATGTTTTGATTAGCCTTTCTATTTCTACATGTAGCTTGTGGTAAAATGGGCTACAGTGTAAAAACAAATATGTTTAATCATTAGGTAATGTCTAATGCATAACTCGTAAACTCAAGCAATACTTTCACACATAGATTTTGTGACTGGGAAAACAATGCATATGGTCTGATTAGGAGACAGAATCTTATTTATTGTACAGTGTAAAAATTACTGAAATGTATTTAAAATATCTTGCTGTTCAGCACTAAAACAATAAGTTCACAGAACGAAATACTTGAAAAACATTAACCATGAGGCAAAAATTTTATTTTTCAAAGTAGTTTCCTCTGATGTTAATGTGCTTGCTCCATTTGACTTTCCAGCTGTTTATGACAACAAAAGAAGAACAAAATTGCGTGTTTTTGTAGCCAAGCCCCGTTGATTTCCACTAGTTCCTCATAATTGGAAAATTTGTTGTCAAGGAAATAGGTTTTAAATGTTGAAACAAATAATAAAAAATATTACCCAATTTCATTATCAGACAAGCATAGTCTTCACAAATAACTAGTTTAGTGTGGGATAAAATCAATCAGTCGTACACTGGAAACCCAGAAAATGTACGTCAGGCCGGTGGTAAAACTGGGGAACTTCTTGGTAGTGGTATTGGATTGCCTGATACTTCGATTGCATATACTCCTGCTTCACCTCAGAATTTCAGTGGTAAATCCATGTTTTATTACCAGTTACTGCACATGAAAAAAGTTGGCTTGATCTCCAATATAGATTTCTAGAAGCTCGCAATTCGACTGAACCCATTGATATATCAACCCTGATCAACGAGGTTATGGGGCACCTATCTTGCAGACACCTTGCGCCCGCTCAAATGGTCATAAAAGATCTTCAAAACACCACTTGAGAAATAACAAGTTCTGTTACTATTTGATCAGTTTTGCTGTGAAGATCCTGCACGTGAGCATTTTATAATAGTGAAATGGCTTGTGTTCTTCACTTATCATCTTAAAAGTTTCAAACATTTTTGAAAAGAACTTGGTGAATGTGACTTGTTAATATTTTAAATAAATGCCATAGAGACCACCAATTTATTAAGAGATTTAGCTGTAATAAAAACCAATACACAATCTTAGGATTATATTTTTGTGATTTTTGATAAAATGCTTTTACCAGTGTTATTGGGGTCTTAGCTGGTAATTAAACATGTTATGTATTTGTAAGTAAAACTCTCCAGTATTTATCCCTAAAATCTGTATATTTTAGTGAGAAATCTGAGAAAATTTTATATAGATTACATGTAGGTTACATAGTATGTAATATTTCTATAAAGTTTTCATTTTTTTTAATACCAAATATATCTCATGTTTTTGAGAATTTTTTTTATTTATATTGTACATAACATATTTTTTATCTTTTTTTAATGTATATAGTGGGATGAATTGGTGGAAATGCTTTTATTATTTGCAATATGTTTTAGTTACTAGAAGAAACAGAAGAACTTAAAAAAATTAATTTTGAGCTCACTGAAAAGGGTATCGAATTCTGGAAGATACTGTGTGAAACAGGAAACAAGGTAATAATTTGCTGTTTAGTGATAAATTAACTTTATTTTCCATCTGTTTTAATAGCTGCAAGCTTCTGTGTTATAGCCAAAATATAAACCTTATATGTTATTTCAGACAAACCACAAGAAATAGATGATTGCATTGATAGTTTTTAGAATGATGTATCAGTTTTATTAATATTTTCATTCCAAAAATTGTTTATTTCAAAATAACTCATCATGAAAACTTAACGCGCAGTATAGTTATCCTTTCACATACGAGTAGGTCAGTATCAATGTATTAATGCCGAAATTAAACTTCTTTTGCATTGTAATAAGGCTGATTTTTTTTACTCGTTTTGTATTTCAAAAAGGATTGTTTCACTAACTTAACCTTTTTTGTTGTTGCTGTTAAGTTATTTGTAATTGTTTCAACTTTAAATCTTAGATAATTTTTTTTTAATGTTATGAAAGGATCTCAATACCAGTATACTACTGAATTCAATGTGTTTGGTTGATTATGAAAACTAAGGTTTCCAAATATTTGTTAATTAGTAAAAACATAATATTAAATTATTAACTTATAGTGATTTGTCCATCTATGCTTAGTTTGCAATAAAAATGAATGATATTATTATAAATTTTGTTAAATATAAAGAACTGAACACAGTTATCATTGATGTTCATTTATTTATGTATAGTTTTGTCTATTCGCAAGCCATCATCAGGCAAATAAACAAGAAGTAATCTTATCAAAGATAAAAACACTAAACTAGATGGAATAGTAAATGTTTTTTGTAATATTAGAGGATAAACCCCTAACTTGTGTTTTTTTACAACAATAAAAAAACAAACATTATTTTCAACAGTAGATGAATTATATTAAATTGGAACAATCAGTAAAGTATATATTTTTACAAGCCTGCTTGAGGTGAAATTCTTACTTCCTAGTTTAAAATTATTCAATCTATTTACTCTATGTTCCTGCTTTACATAACTGTAATTTTATCCATATTTTAAATTTATATGTGCATGTATGGCTTTTTATCCATAGGTTAAATTAAATTCAACAGGTTTGATTTTCATAGTTTTTCTTTAAACATTTTTCAAAAATTACTTTCTATCTTTTAATTACACATTTCCAGGTCTATTTATTAAAGATAGTCTTAATGATAAGCTAAATGAAAATTGGAATTTTTCTGTTACTGCACTGTCACTTCCTTATCCTTGTAATGAAAAGTTAGCTTGTTTTTCAATATATGAGTGTATTTTTTTTAAATCAATCCAAACCTTACTAAGTTTTATTTTCTATGAATCACAAACTACCATTTTGTCAGAATAGGCATGTCTAGTAAAGAAGTTATTTTTACATTAACTCATTTAATAATGAGCCTAAATAAATCTGGACAAAATTTCCTAAACCAGCTCAAACTTTAATTCATTAGTATGATACAAACTCCAGCTTCTACAAGTTTTCATAATGACAGTGATTATATTATAATAAACTCTTAAGGGCTTCAACTTGTTATTTTTAAAACAAAAGATTATATTTGTGCTCTTGAATGAGGAAAATTTAAAAATTGTGTATATTCTGTAGTTCTTTGGAAACATCTCTATAAGGTAGTAAGTCAAACTGACTGATACAGAAAATATACTGCTACATATAATTTTTTGGCTGTTTTGGTTTTATCACAAAATGAAAGTTAACTTCATTTTGCACTTGTAATTTACCTAATGTACACATGTTTACTATTAGTTAAGTAGGTCAAAGTTCGAGAAAGTATACTCATAAATTACAGTCTGGAGTTGTTTTGTAAGACTATTTTTAATTGCTTTTTATTTATTTAGAAATTCCCACTGCCTGAAGTATTAAAACCCAAGCCCATTGTGAAGTCTCCTAGTAAAAGTAACAGAAAAAGTGATTCTTCATCAGTATTTTTTGAGTAGGTATTCTACAATACCAACAAAATGTATATTGTTATAGACTAAATAAATAATTTTGCCTAAAACAAACTAGTACAAATAAATGAGGAATATTTGTTGTTTTACATAGTGGTATTCTGCTCTGAATCTGTGTATTCTAGATTTACGTCTCAAACACATCTCATCTGCACATGCATTATGTGAGTAAACTTTATCAACGAAATAAATGTTTATACACACACCTCAGTGGTATGTGTGATTACAACATTAAAAACCAGGTTTCGTTTGATACCCGTGGTTGGCATAGCATCCAATCTTAGTTGACTCGGATGTTATTCTCATGTTGTTGTTTTTTTTTGTATTAGACAATACTCAAATAAAATAGCTTATTTATGAAAAACAAAGTATTTATTAGATTTAAATCAAGAATATTCTTTGTAAAAATCACATAGCCTGACAAAGGTAACAGTGGTACCCATCTGAAAGGTGAGGTGGATCCTAAGTCACGAATAAGGTTTTTAGTTTTTGTCACGTTTTTGATTTATAGCCAAAATAAACTATCCATAAAGTGATATGTTAATGAATATCAATCTAAAACTGACTGGGTAAATGAAATGGTTCCTTATGATCAATAACAATAAATAATTCTAGTAATTAAAAGTATTTCAATATACATTCAAAACAGTGTTTCACAATGGAATTTTAAAATTTTCATAATCTTAAAAAGTTACAAAAATACTAATTCAAGTTGTATTAATATTTTAAAGCATAAACTAGTACTATTTACAAAGTTTGTACCAAGTTTTATGCAGTTTGGTGAAGTATTTCCATTGTGAGAAGGGGAATTAGTAAATATCAATTATACCCCCTCTGGTTTGGAGAGGGTTGAAAAGTAAAGTATACTATAAAGGTATTTTCCAAAAAGTCTAGCTTATTGTATCTGCTCATTTGTATGTCACTGCACATCTATAGTCTACAACCATCTTTGGTGGAATTGATTATAACATTGGAGTAATAATTGCTTCTATTTCTACAATTTTTTTTTACCCGCAAAGTATTTAAGACTTAATGCCTTATCATTATATAACATTTATTTTGTGTAATTTCCAAAGAAGAATGAAAAAGAAGTTTCCAACTTTCATTCCTGCATAACTCCAAGGAGTGACCTGTAAATCACACATTGATAGACTTATTGGGTAAAAGGGTATCATTCCTTGAAAATATAATGAAGCATATTCTGTTTTTCTTGTAATTTTCCTTCTCTGTTAGTGGTTTGTTTCTACAGCCCTTCATTGACACCATATTATGGTTTCACAGCATATGGTCTGAGCAATTACTACTAAAGCTCAGCTCTGAAAATAGTTACTAACAAACAACTGTATAGAAAATAGTTTAATGTTTCTACATCAATGTATGGTAAATAAAGTGATTGTAGGAGTATTTTATGATTTCATGTGAAGGTGAGTACATGGAGTTCCTGAAGAGTTGAACAAAGAATCTAATGGAAAGCTTAGAAGACTTAGGAACAATTTTTTATAGTTTCTAAAAATATTTTTGTATCAAATTATATTCACTTGAAAGCTACAAGAATTTTTATATAACAAGACATCAGGTAAACTTATGTAGGTTTAGTGAGTAGTGTATTAAACTAAGGCAAACTTTTTGGTTTTTTTCTTAAATTTTGAAATTCAATATGGAGGTGTGCACTTGACACCTAAAATGTGCATGCCGACCTAAATAAGGTTAAATATACTTTATGGTTATAGTCAACGATTTGTACAACCTCTATATAAAAGAGAACCATTTATAGATTCAGAATACATCTCAATCAGACTAATTATAATTGTGAGATTCTTGCAATAATTTTTGTCTTCATTATCATCTTTACAAAATATCACACACATACATATATGTTTTTGTTGCACCTTCCTAAAATACAAGTTACCTGTAATCAACTACACATGAGAGTGATGAGGTAAAGAAACAAAGGGATGGAATTTTTCTTTTTATGTTACCAGATAAAAGAAAACAAAAATACATGCTTTACAGCACAAAAGATAAATCATTACATATATCTGAAGCTACACTAGTACTTATATACATTTATAATAAATACCTGTTCATATTTTTGTCTCACATTCTGTTCCTCCTCTTGGAGTTTACTGTTTTGCTGAAGAAGTTCATCTAAATGACGCTGCATTGAAACCATGCGATTATTGCGATCTACAAGCAAATGAAAAATATTTGGACAAGTAAACCAAATTTGTTTTTCTACTCAAAGCTTACTTCAAAATGTTTAATAAAAAAGACCAAAACTTTAAAGAGATTACACATGGCAAAGAATTTTTTCTTGAGACATAAGAAATCAAATTACTCACCTAAATAGTAACTTATGAACTCTACACTGAAAGCTGGCTGGATATGCCACTTCTTTCGAATATTGACCATAGTGTCTGAATTTGTCAAATAAGTCTGGAAAAGTTAGAACTATCAATTACTTGATTTTTCTACATCTCATATTTTGACAATTATAAACAACAGGGTTAAAATACACACAAAAGTCTCGGTTTCAATGTAAGTTGTGGGAGATCATATAAACTACAATTTTACCAGTTGGTGCAAGTGTCAAGAGATGAAGGAACAGTTAATATCACCCTCAAGAACTTTTAACTGCATTCCTAATGCCTTCACATAATAAGCACCAGCTATGTTTGTTTTAAAAATGTTTCACATGCATTTTTTATACACATGTACTAACTGAGAAAGCTATAAACACACACACACACACACACACACATATATATATATATATATATTTATTCACACACACACACTATTTTTTATTACACATGTACAAACTGGGAAAGACTATAAACACACACACACACACACACATATATATTTATACCTCAACTTATTTTGTGCCAACCCTGTGTGTGTTTGTCTCTCTCTCTCTATATATATATATATATTAAAAGGACCACCAGGTTCGAAATACTATATTTTATAATATCTTTGGTTGGTTGGAAGCTCTTTTGTAGCTTAAGCTGCTCTTCAGCCAACCTAATACTTTTTAACAAAGTTAAAATGCTTATACAATAATTATATCCAAGTAATTATATCTACTGCTGGTTTGTCACCACCAAAGGTGTGGCCAAGGTAGTATACAAGGATGTTCTAATCGACAGTTTCATACAGTTAAGAAATTGCCATTTCAGAGGCAATAATTTGCTTAAAAGCACGCCCATCTAACACTGATGAATTATTCAGAATAGACCAGAAACTGATCAAATGCCTCATTGCTTTGTTGTATAAATAACACAAGTGCTAAAATTCCTGCTGTAGAGGTCTAAACTAGTGAAGACTCCCTCCATTATATATTCTGAAATTAAACACTAGAATATATTTGCTTACACGAGCAAAAGTATGCAAATTTTGAACTAAAAAAAACATACACATTGTTGCATTTAATTATACTCTGATCTACATTTACTTCTCTTTGTAAAAGGTGTAAAAAAAGAAAATACTTTGAAGTTAAAATTAATTGGACATACTTTGAGTTACCATTTGTTAATTTCTAGAGAAATACTTTTTAATTTATAATATTACTGTATTATGTTTCCACAAAGCTTTTAAATAGTTTATTTCAAAAATACTGAAAGCTTTTGCTACAAGTATCGAAAAAAAAATGCATTAGGCATAACCAGTCAATAAAATTTGAAATACCCCAAAACTATATGTAGTGCTGCATAAATTTAACAAGTTTCATCACTGGCTATTAAACGTGAATGAGAAAACAGTATGATAATGTGGTATTTAACAAACAAAAAAAATAATAATAAAGAATAAATAGCAAAATATGAACCCAAACCAACTAGATTTGTAAGATGCAAACTGGAACTGAAATTTGTGTGACAACAAAATTATTAAAAGAAAAGCTTTTTAACTTCATATTTAATCTTTTCCAGACTTACTTGTGGGGACATTCCAAGCATCTCTGCCTTCTTTAGCAATTTTTTACATGCTGCAGGACTAGTTGTTAGAAGTCTTGGCATCTTTTGAGTTGGAACTAAAACAATTATAACATATACAAAATTGTCAAAGCAAAATAAATTTCATAAAAGTTAGTCAGTCTACTTAATCCTGGTAGTATATTTGTAAAGATCATAATATTGTGAAGAACACTAACGTACGTAATTGATAGCTTATGCTATAAATTTTATAGTGACTGACTTCAATCAAGACCATTACAGATTCTGATTCTGTTAATTAGGGGAATTCTTAAGTATCTATATAACATTTAAGATGTGCAGAAAGTTCAAAATAATGATGCTGTTCTAAGTATCAATGAATCTCAACACCATGATCTTACAATTCTCACAAATATGAAAACTAAAGATACATGTACACAACTACATACTGCAGAGAACAGGGAGTCACCAGTCACATCTAACCAAAGCAAGAGTAATGTATAAAGTTCTAAGAAGAACAATCTAGCAAATATAGTGTTAAAATATATTACCCCATGCAGGTGGCTTTTTAGCTTTTGTTGCTAGGTACTTCTCCCTGTGCCAGGCAAGTTTCCTTTCTACTCTAGCCTTAAGAAAAAGAGACACAAGTAAAATATTGTTTACCAACACATGCACTTGAATTATTCTTAGCATTTACTTACAATTTGTTTTTTTTTTTGTGGGTAGCTGAAGTAACATATAAAGATATTATGTGAGCAATTAGATAATAATGTATATTTGTCAAACCCGTATATGAAAATTACGTATATCTATCTATATAAATAAGATTTATATAAACAATGTAGAAGAAAATATCTTTAAAACTCTTTATGCAACACATATTTTTAAAACTTAAATGCCACAAACATACAAACCTTTTCATCTGAAGGTGGTTTATCTTCATGTCTTTTATCCTTTGCTTGCGATTGTAAAGCTAGCCAATTACACCGTTTACTACGGGCAATATTCTTATCTCCATGCAGCTTACAGTAAGCAAAGAATGGGTCAGCAATACTCTGCAGGAAAAAAAAAAGATGGGTCAATGTGCAAGTATTGGTGTTAATACATCAAATTAGAAACAAACATTAATAATGATTTTGAATTTACCATCCCAATCACAATATATCCCAAATTAATGAAAGAAGTGTGAAATTTGTTGCTAGGCAACACTGGACATCTTTCATGTAATTTTTTTTTAAAGACAAACACCATGAAAATCTAATTTTAAAACTTGAAATGAATATTCATCACTTTATGATAAAACCAATTGTTTATGTTAACTTCTTTTTTGGCATTATCATGGCTCCTCTTCTTTGATAATCATTTGAACTTTTTAGTGTACTGTAAGAGAGAGAATTTGTTTTATCATGATCAGCTAAACAAATTTTAAAGGCAACATTATACAAACATGAAAAAGTAGGCCGCACTCAATTACTTAGCTAACTACACACACACACGTTTATAGTATAAAGCACATGTTCACACAAAACAATATTAATAGGGTTAGGATCAAGTGTGTATAATGGTGGAGTAGAAGGATTGTTTGGCGATGGTATTAATAAACTCAAATATATGTATGCACAAAAAAGTAATTTTTTTTTTATTTGGGCTATTGTTCAACTAAAGCAATAGGTTCCTACATCTATGGTATAAATGACTGTTGGGTCAAAATACTCTTCAAAATTTGTATAGTGTTTAACTTTCACTTTACTCTAGAGACATGGATTTAACATTTTTCAAGTACCAATGTGTTCAAAATGATCTTGTTACCATAACAAAATATTTTTTATAATATATCCATACTAAATATTTTATAACAAAACTTTTATTCACAAGAGTTACAGTAAAAGAGAATGAAACAACCGAGATGAAACACGAAGAACACTTAAATGTAAGCAGGCGTTGCAGTAAAAACACAAGAAATATCTACCCTAGGTTTTTGTTTCCCAAACATTTGCTGATGGTTTAAAAGTGTAGATGATTGTGCATAAGTTTTAAATGTACTTGGTTAACAACAAAAAGAGTTTACAAACATAATTCTTCACTAAAAGTAATAAAATTAGTGAACACTAGATGTTTACAAAAAATAAAGCCATAGTCTTAACTCTTCCTCGTGTTTATTATAACTAAATTGTCATAAGCATAAAAATGACAGTCAAAATTATACACACTTAAGTTTAATATGTTTGTATAGTCTCAAAATATAACCACTGTTAAAAATGTAATTGAACAATCACAAACCTCTTCAGTGGAAGCTTCAGATAACAAGCCTTCTCTTTGAGCACTATCAGAAGAAAAGGAGGAGATAACTTCTAATGTATAAAAACAGCAAACATGTCTTGATGAAAGTAGGCTTCAAACCACTACTATTTGTAAAAATTCTGACTCAGATACAAATACACATAACAAAACACCAACTTAGTAGTATTCATATCTTATATGTATATATTGTTTACTAACATTCCAGACACAACTAAAATTAAGAATACAAATATATGAGCATAGACAGTCTTAAAATGTCTAATTTCAAATGCTGTAATACATGACATATACTTTTTTCTTGTTTGTTTAGGAAATTTGTGCAAAGCAACACAAAGCATACATGCACTAGTCAACACACCCACCACCAACTCTTTGGCTATTCTAATCAAATAGTGGTCGAGATTTAATTGTGTCTCTCATAATGCACCTAAAGTCCCAGAATACTGAGTGAGTTTTTAGATGAATATGATGTGAATCTTCAGTTTAACATTATGGTATAATAACCATTATACTACCTTAGAAAACTAGAGGTCCTCATAGCACTTTTGAATATTACACCTATCAAGAAGTGAAGTGTAAAACATGTAATTATTATCAAAGCAAATGATCCAGGAAAGTTAAAACTCAGTACTCACCATGTGACATGGAAGTAGTTTCGACACATACCAGCATCACAGCTGATAGAAACCCCTGTCCTGCTGAAACGCTCATCTTCACACAATCCACAAGCCTAGCAATTTTAAAATAAAGTTCAATCTTACATGTACTGTATCACCTAGAAATTAATTCTACACAAACACACACACACACAAAAAAACATGTACTAATAGCAATAAAAGTCAAATGGAATTGTACCATCATGGAAGACAATTTCACTTCTCATATGTACAACAGACAACGTCAGACCAATATACTTATAAACTGTTACTTTTATACAATTGTTAAAAAATAATATTGATAAAAAAATTTTCACTTATTAGTACAGTACTCATATTATCAATAGAATTTTTTATGCGTGATGTAATTTTTTCCCTACTAAACATCTCCTCCCCATTCCTTGTTGTTCCTGGCTTGTCTATCTTACACATGTGGAGACTGTAAGGCTTCCTGTATTGGCAAAACCAAACACCATTTAAAAGTCAGAGCCTATGAACATATAAGAATTTCCATCAAAATGCAAAAAAAAATTGAGTAACCCCTGTGTTTCCTCTATATGCCAACATAGTGAAGAAAC